GACGCTTCTCTACTTCAGTAAGTCTGACAAATGGCGCATCATTGTCATGACAGACACTGTAAGCACGTTCAACAAAGTGATAAAACTCACACACACTTTCCCAGAGAGACACAGACAACGACTTGAGTTGCAACATGAAAAAGGTTTGGTTTCCAGACAAGTATCCGGGAATAAAGGAGCACTGGAGACCGTGTGTGTGGGCTAAACAGTTTCTGGCTGAGGCTCTGCCTCATGAAGACTCAGTTGTATATTTTGACACTGATGTGGTATTTCTGGGTCCCGCTGAAGAAGTGTGGTCTTTGTTAAGATCGATGAAGACTGGTCAAGCAGTGTCTCTTGCTCCTGAACCACAGTACATCCTGGACAATCCCAAACGGTCGTACGCGGGCCGTGCAGGACTTAATACAGGCGTCATAATTGCTAACCTGACGCGGCTGCGACAGCTGCCTGGTGGCGGCCTGGGCAGTGCCATCCTAAGGGAGGGCAGCTTTTATCCATTACCACGACACGATCAAGACGCTCTCAACCACTTCTTGATGAACAAGCCTCACCTGGTGCAGGAAGTGACGTCCCGCTGGAACTTTGCTCCGTCTTCCTGCTTCAGCAGCGCCCCCTCCTGCCCTGACTGTGTCTCTGCTGGCATCCTCGTCCTCCACGGCGCCGACATGTCTTTTTATAGAAATGTGGAGAGGAAATTCCTGGTAATTAGAATATACAACTTGTTTTTATGTTATAAAAAAAATGTAATTTGTTCTACTCTCTACCGAACGCATCTCTTCTGTGGGTGATTGTACTTTATGTAAATATAAGGCGTAATATGTCCATAGCTTTTCCAAAACTCAATTTTGCTTGTAATTTATGAAAAGTTTAACTCGCAAATACAAGTTACAAAACTATACAGTAGCATGCACGAAGATAATATAATTTTCAACGTTTCACCATAAAAAAAAATCTGACATCTATATAAGAACGCATTTCGTCCTGTAGATGCCTTCCTCTTCCACTACATTGTAGAATGCTCCGAACTTCAGAACACTCGTGACCTAACCTGATTCCTCCTTTTTTTTTCTTCTCCCTCTTCCCCTTTCCTCTTTCTCCTTTGGGTTGTCTCCCCTGTGTATTTGTTCCTTCTTTATTTATTTGTTCCCCCCCCTCGGTGTTCTTGCTCTTACCCTCTGTGGGCACCAGCTCCCTTGCAGTGCTCCTCTTTCTTAGTATTTGACTGGCCCCTCCTACTCTTACTACCTCTCCACTTCTACTTCCTTCCACCTCCACTACTACCACTTCCTGCCTATATATATCCATCCTGACTCACGAAATCGTAATGACACGATTGCAAACAAACCATACCACGGGTGGGGATAGAACCCGCGATCAAAAGGTCTCAAAACTCCAGACCGTCGCGTTAGCTAACGCGACGGTCTGGAGTTTTGAGACTCTCTGATCGCGGGTTCTATCCCCACCCGTGGCATGGTTATACCCATCCTGCTCTCCTTTTCGTAAGTGTGACTTTGTAAATGGTCCAAGTCGGACCGAAATGTCGTCGTAAGCTCCTCTCTTCTATGTTCGGGTTATTTGTGTAACGCACAAAGTAAGTTTTGAAGATTCTTCACAGAAAACACACATGGTTTCTCAAGCAATAATCTAGATCTTAGCATTCCTTTCAGTGTAAAATAAGTTTTCATTTTACTGCATCAAATAGGTACTAACCTGCTGAAAATGCCCAGTAGCAAAGTTGAGCAAATTAGATAAAAATCAGCCACATATAAACTTGTACATCTAGACAGAACAAGTGGAAGGCAGCAGGATGATATTAGAGTTAGACTGATAATTTAGTAATAATCATACAAATGTGAATATTTTCTGATTATTTTTTTTTAATCTCATTGCTTATTTGTGGCTGAATCTATGTTTTTTATGTGTTTATATGTAACCAAGTCTAGTCTAACTTAACCTTAGTTAACTTTACCTAACTTATAATACGGAAAATAGCATCGATAAGTTTACAGGAAACATTAAGAGATTTGATCGAGGAACTTAATATAGTGAAGCTCTTGTCATAAATAAATGACAGGAATAAGTGTCAGTGTGTCATTGTGTTAAGTGATGCTTGGAGCGGCACACCTGGCTGATGCAGATTCGAGTTCCCATGATGCCTTATTTTTAAAATGTGTTCTTTATGCATGCTTGCAGACTATGTATAATGCTGTGAAGTGGCTTAAGCTGGACGAGAACCCGAGTGTGTTGCTAAACAATGTCACCTTACAGCTGAGTCACAAAGACTCGTGGACACCTTACTTCCCGTGCAGCAACTACACAAACATCAACTTGGCCCTCACACAAGGACTGTCTCACGCAGCTTCCCTCCACGATCATCCTTCCATAATATAGCCTTACTGGCACACCTGTGCTGAATTTGTAAGTATATAAATTCAGGCTCAAACTAACGCATTTTGAGAAATAAAAAAGACAATAAGATCATTATTATATTCATGGGGAAGCGCTATGAGTGTTAAGAGTCATAGAGAAAAGGGAGATTTGTTCCAGTTCTTAGGATCAAGAGCCCTACTTTCTACTTTTGGCTAGTGTTTATTACAATTTTTGTTCAAATATAAATTCAGATTTAAAACTGATATAGTACATCACAACTTTGGTAAAAGTCAAAGATAAAACTGATAAATTAGCCAAAGTATTTTGGATGATGAAGCTGAATATAACTTTAGTCTGTCAGTGTCAAGAATAAAGAGCAGTGGTAAGAGAGACTGAAGGATGTTATAGTAGCCAGGCTTAAAATTGGCTACAAGTACTTTTGGCAGTTTGCCATGTGGTTTAAAAACACACCTGACCAAACACTAGGACATATATATTAGAAAACGTTTCGGTCCTGGGACCTTGATCACTTCTAACACATTAAAAAATCTGTTAGAAGTTATCAAGGTCCTACGATCGAAACGTTTTCTAATAAACATCTCTTAGTGTTTGCTCACTTGTCTTTTTAAACCAATTTGTTGGTATTAATTACCAAGGTTCATACCAGTTTGCCACATACACAGTGTATGTGATTACCCGTATGATAACTTCCTGGAACACTATATATTTGACTGTCCATTTATTGAGGAATATAAAGACAGAAAGTATAATAACCAATGTGATATGCCAAAGTATCTTTATTGTAAAAATAAGACACCAGCATTTTACGTAATTTTTTTATAATATAGAATAAAGATGGAATGCACAATAAACTATACACTTTTGCGGCAAAATATAAAATCTTGAAGATAGTGGGAAAAACTGCCAAGAAGTCAATGAAGCAGATTTTTTAGGTAGCCTTAAAGGTGGGTTGGAAAAATACTTAAGTGGAAATAATTTTGTGTGAATTAGACTTGCCTTGTTTGAGGTCAGTAACCCAGCTACAGTGTTCCTGTTTTTCTTGTTTCTATATTTGTGTACTTGCTACGTATATCTATCTATTAGTCGTTATATATATATATATATATATATATATATATATATATATATATATATATATATATATATATATATATATATATATATATATATATATATATATATATATAAATCGTAGTTTGGAAGTTTGGAGGAGGTGCGGGATTACCAAAACTGTTGTCCAGAGGGCTGAGGAAGAGTTGTTGAGGTGGTTCGGACATGTAGAGAGAATGGAGCGAAACAGAATGACTTCAAGAGTGTATCAGTCTGTAGTGGAAGGAAGGCGGGGTAGGGGTCGGCCTAGGAAAGGTTGGAGGGGTAAAGGAGGTTTTGTGAGCGAGGGGCTTGGACTTCCAGCAGGCATGCGTGAGCGTGTTTGATAGGAGTGAATGGAGACAAATGGTTTTTATTACTTGACGTGCTGTTGGAGTGTGAGCAAAGTAACATTTATGAAGGGATTCGGGGAAACCGGCAGGCCGGACTTGAGTCCTGGAGATGGGAAGTACAGTGCCTGCACTCTGAAGGAGGGGTGTTAATGTTGCAGTTTAAAAACTGAAGTGTAAAGCACCCTTCTGGCAAGACAGTGATGGAGTGAATGATGGTGAAAGTTTTTCTTTTTTGGGCCACCTTGCCTTGGTGGGAATCGGCCAGTGTGTTAATAAAAAATAAAAATTATATATATATAATATATATATATATATATATATAATATATATATATATATAATATATATATATATATATATATATATATATATATATATATATATATATATATATATATGGTATTATATATGGTATAAACCTTGGTAATAAATACCGACAAGTTGGTTTAGAAAGACACGTAAGCAAACACTATAACATATTTATTAGAAAACGTTTCGGTCCTGGGACCTTGATCACTTCTAACATACAGAGGTAGAAAGACATTCCTCAGGTCACGTGCGTCACATCTCACTCTCCGCCTATATATATAATGTCTTTCTACCTCTGTATGTTAGAAGTGATCAAGGTCCCAGGACCGAAACGTTTTCTAATAAATATGTTATAGTGTTTGCTTACGTGTCTTTCTAAACCATATATATATATATATATATATATATATATATATATATATATATATAATATATATATATATATATATATATATATATATATATATATATATATATATGTATGTATATGTATGTATGTATGTATATGTGTGTGTGATTACAACGAGTAATAAAAATATTGAGGAATGAGAATGACAGGATTGGAGGAAAGATATTTGTGAATATAATAGCTGACCAACTATTATCAGTGGAGGAAATAATGTGCAAATATACAAGTTGACTTGACTGCTGTGAATGTCTCGCAGCTCCTCAGACGTGGCAAGCTTTCTTTCCTTATAAAAAAAATATTTACGTGAAAACAATTGTATGAAGCTAACGCGTGCCCTTAAACAAACCTAAAAAAGACTTAAATATAATGCTTGCAGAATACGAGAAGAAAATCTGTCAAGAGAGATACAAAGCAACTTATGTGTGAGAAGTCAAAACTATAAGAATTCTTTTGTTCATTACCTGAGATGTTTTTTGGTTCATCATTGTTATTGTTATTATTATTTAATGATCACCGAAGATTTTTGAACGCGCATTTAAATTCAGACAACGAGTGACTAATATTTAAATATCTGAATGACACATTTGGTACGCGCACGGACCATTTTTTTTGTAACACCAGCAGCACTTGTGATAAAGTCGGTGTTGATGCTAAACAAGACTATTGATGTTATATTGTGTAGATGTATGTACACCATGACTGGTCGTGTGCGTGTGGCTACCATAACACTGGCCATCATCACTCATGTGTGGGTACTCAACCTGATTCTGTGTACATCTCTCCACAACAAACAAAGTGCAAGAGGGAAGAAGTCTTATATCGAGCCTCGACTATTGGTGAGTGGGAGTCCCTCTGTTGAGGCTCCTGCTGTGGTGGTGGTGTGCAAGGCCCACAACAGCAGCAGTAATAATCCTGCACAAGACGCAGCCACTGGCCAGGGATCACTGCTTCTGCGGGAGTCTTGGACGAGGCAGCTGGAGCAGCTCGACTTAATGCTCAAGACGCTTCTCTACTTCAGTAAGTCTGACAAATGGCGCATCATTGTCATGACAGACACTGTAAGCACGTTCAACGAAGTGGTAAAACTCACACACACTTTCCCAGAGAGACACAGACAACGACTTGAGTTGCAACATGAAAAAGTTTGGTTTCCAGACAAGTATCCGGGAATAAAGGAGCACTGGAGACCGTGTGTGTGGGCTAAACAGTTTCTGGCTGAGGCTCTGCCTCATGAAGACTCAGTTGTATATTTTGACACTGATGTGGTATTTCTGGGTCCCGCTGAAGAAGTGTGGTCTTTGTTAAGATCGATGAAGACTGGTCAAGCAGTCTCTCTTGCTCCTGAACCACAGTACATCCTGGATAATCCCAAACGGCCGTACGCGGGCCGTGCAGGACTTAATACAGGCGTCATAATTGCTAACCTGACGCGGCTGCGACAGCTGCCTGGTGGCGGCCTGGGCAGTGCCATCCTAAGGGAGGGCAGCTTTTATCCATTACCACGACACGATCAAGACGCTCTCAACCACTTCTTGATGAACAAGCCTCACCTGGTGCAGGAAGTGACGTCCCGCTGGAACTTTGCTCCGTCTTCCTGCTTCAGCAGCGCCCCCTCCTGCCCTGACTGTGTCTCTGCTGGCATCCTCGTCCTCCACGGCGCCGACGCAACTTTCTACAGACACATTGACAGGAAATTCTTAGTAGGTAGTACTGTAACAAGGTTAAATTTCTGCAATAATGAGTTTTTTTTTTTAATCTCTCCAGTTGCGTATTCTATCCTACTTGTGGTGATGACTGGAAAGACACCTTGATGTTAAGATGCAGCGCCAATTTAGGAATTCAGAGACTTGCAGCAACGTTTTGCAGAACAGTCTTATATATACAGTAGTATGCAAATTAATTGGGACAAATAAATTTTGTGATTATCTCACAGTAATGTCTTAGTTTCCGGCTTAATTAATGTAATTTGGGTTCTTTTCATAACAGTTTGCTACTGACTTCTAGCAACCATCCATCTGTGGTCTTCCCTGCGAATCTTGTCAGTGCTACAATAGCTGAACGCTGTATAGCCCTTGTGGCTTAGCGCTTCTTTTTTATTATAATAATAATAATATACAATAGCTGATGTTCTGTAAGGCTATTCCTGCAAGCGTGCTCTGTGAGTGTATGTGGTATCGCCAAATTCTCCCCTTCATTTCATGATTACTGCTGAAATTCATGATGGATGTTACACTTAGGAAGTGTGCAAGTAGTGTAACTCCTAGAAAACATGCTAGATATCATAGCCCCGGATTTGACCGCTGCAAATAATGTGGTTGGAACTTCTAGATATATTATACATATCATCATAATTTGATCTAGAAATATAATTATTTGATTAATATTATATATATATATATATATATATATATATATTTTTATTTTTTTTTTCAACAAGTCGGTCGTCTCCCACCGAGGCAGGGTGACCAAAAAAGAAAGAAAATCCCCAAAAAGAAAATACTTTCATCATCATTCAACACTTTCACCACACTCACACATTATCACTGCTTTTGCAGAGGTGCTCAGAATACAACAGTTTAGAAGCATATACGTATAAAGATACACAACATATCTATCTATATATATATATATATATTATATATATATATATTTATATATATATTATATATATATTATATATATATATATATATATATTATATTATATAATATATATAATATATAAATGTTGAGTGAATGCGTGGGGAGTTTTGAATCAAGTGTGAGAGTAATGGTGGTTGGGGATTTCAATGCTAAAGTGGGTAAAAATGTTATGGAGGGAGTAGTAGGTAAATTTGGGGTGCCAGGGGTAAATGTAAATGGGGAGCCTTTAATTGAGCTATGTGTAGAAAGAAATTTGGTAATAAGTAATACATATTTTATGAAAAAGAGGATAAATAAATATACAAGGTATGATGTAGCACGTAATGAAAGTAGTTTGTTAGATTATGTATTGGTGGATAAAAGGTTGATGGGTAGGCTCCAGGATGTACATGTTTATAGAGGGGCAACTGATATATCGGATCATTATTTAGTTGTAGCTACAGTTAGAATAAGAGGTAGATGGGAAAAGAGGAAGGTGGCAACAACAAGTAAGAGGGAGGTGAAAGTGTATAAACTAAGGGAGGAGGAAGTTCGGGCGAGATATAAGCGACTATTGGCAGAAAGGTGGGCTAGTGCAGAGATGAGTAGTGGGGGGGTTGAAGAGGGTTGGAATAGTTTTAAAAATACAGTATTAGAATGTGGGGCAGGAAGTTTGTGGTTATAGGAGGGTGGGAGCAGGAGGAAAGAGGAGTGATTGGTGGAATGATGAAGTAAAGGGTGTGATAAAAGAGAAAAAGGTAGCTTACGAAAGGTTTTTTACAAAGCAGAAGTGTTATAAGAAGAGCAGAGTATATGGAGAGTAAAAAAAGGTGAAGAGAGTGGTGAGAGAGTGCAAAAGGAGAGCAGATGAAAGAGTGGGAGAGGCACTGTCAAGAAATTTTAATGAAAATAAGAAAAATTTTTGGAGTTAAACAAGTTAAGAAAGCCTAGGGAAAGTATGGATTTGTCCATTAAAAACGGAGTAGGGGAGTTAGTAGATGGGGAGAGGGAGGTATTAGGTAGATGGCGAGAATATTTTGAGGAACTTTTAAATGTTGAGGAAGATAGGGAGGCGGTAATTTCATGCACTGGCCAGGGAGGTATACCATCTTTTAGGAGTAAAGAAGAGCAGAATGTAAGTGTAGGGAAGGTACGTGAGGCATTACGTAGAATGAAAGGGGGTAAAGCAGCTGGAACTGATGGGATCATGACAGAAATGTTAAAAGCAGGGGAGGATATAGTGTTGGAGTGGTTGGTACTTTTGTTTAATAAATGTATGAAAGAGGGGAAGGTACCTAGGGATTGGCGGAGAGCATGCATAGTCCCTTTATATAAAGGGAAAGGGGACAAAAGAGATTGTAAAAATTATAGAGGAATAAGTTTACTGAATATACCAGGAAAAGTATACGGTAGAGTTATAATTGAAAGAATTAGAGGTAAGACAGAATGTAGAATTGCGGATGAGCAAGGAGGCTTCAGAGTGGGTAGGGGATGTGTAGATCAAGTGTTTACATTGAAGCATATATGTGAACAGTATTTTGATAAAGGTAGGGAAGTTTTTATTTCATTTATGGATTTAGAAAAGGCATATGATAGAGTGGATAGAGGAGGAATCTGGCAGATGGTGCAAGTTTATGGAATAGGTGGTAAGTTACTAAATGCTGTAAAGAGCTTTTATGAGGATAGTGAGGCTCAGGTTAGGGTGTGTAGAGAGAGGGAGAATACTTCCCGGTAAAAGTAGGTCTTAGACAGGGATGTGTAATGTCACCATGGTTGTTTAATATATTTATAGATGGGGTTGTAAAAGAAGTAAATGACTAGGGTGTTCGGGAGAGGGGTGGGATTAAATTATGGGGAATCAAATTCAAAATGGGAATTGACACAGTTACTTTTTGCTGATGATACTGTGCTTATGGGAGATTCTAAAGAAAAATTGCAAAGGTTCGTGGATGAGTTTGAGAATGTGTGTTAAAGGTTAGAAAGTTGAAAGTGAACATAGAAAAGAGTAAGGTGATGAGGGTATCAAATGATTTAGATAAAGAAAAATTGGATATCAAATTGGGGAGGAGGAGTATGGAAGAAGTGAATGTTTTCAGATACTTGGGAGTTGACGTGTCGGCGGATGGATTTATGAAGGATGAGGTTAATCATAGAATTGATGAGGGAAAAAAAAGGTGAGTGGTGCGTTGATGGTATATGTGGAGTCAAAAAAACGTTATCTATGGAGGCAAAGAAGGGAATGTATGAAAGTATAGTAGTACCAACACTCTTATATGGATGTGAAGCTTGGGTGGTAAATGCAGCAGCGAGGAGACGGTTGGAGGCAGTGGAGATGTCCTGTCTAAGGGCAATGTGTGGTGTAAATATTATGCAGAAAATTCGGAGGTGTGGAAATTAGGAGAAGGTGTGGAGTTAATAAAAGCATTAGTCAGAGGGCAGAAGAGGGGTTGTTGAGGTGGTTTGGTCATTTAGAGAGAATGGATCAAAGTAGAATGACATGGAAAGCATATAAATCTATAGGGGAAGGAAAAGAGGGGTAGGGGTCGTCCTCGAAAGGGTTGGAAAGAGGGGGGGTAAAGGAGGTTTTGTGGGCGAGGGGCTTGGACTTTCAGCAAGCGTGCATGGCGTGTTAGATAGGAGTGGGAAAGGAGACGAATGATTTCTTGGACCCGACGATCTGTTGGAGTGTGAGCAGGGTAATATTTAGTGAAGGGATTCAGGGAAACCCGGGTTTTTTTTCTTTTTAGTCGGCTGAGTCTGGGAAAAGGGAAGTACAATGCCTGCACTGATGGTATACCTCCCTGACCAGTGCATGAAATTACTGCCTCTGTTTCTTCCTTAACATTTAAAAGTTCCTCAAAATATTCTCGCCATCTACCCAATACCTCCATCTCCCCATCTACTAACTCCCCTACTCTGTTTTTAACTGACAAATCCATATTTTCCATAGGCTTTCTTAACTTGTTTAACTCACTCCAAATTTTTTTCTTATTTTCATTAAAATTTCTTGACAGTGCCTCTCCCACTCTATCATCTGCTCTCCTTTTGCACTCTCTCAGCACTCTCTTTACCTTTCTTTTACTCTCCATATACTCTGCTCTTCTTATAACACTTCTGCTTTGTAAAAACCTCTCATAAGCTACCTTTTTCTCTTTTATCACACCCTTTACTTCATCATTCCACCAATCACTCCTCTTTCCTCCTGCCCCCACCCTCCTATAACCACAAACTTCTGCCCCACATTCTAATACTGCATTTTTAAAACTATTCCAACCCTCTTCAACCCCCCACTACTCATCTTTGCACTACCCCACCTTTCTGCCAATAGTCGCTTATATCTCACCCGAACTTCTCCTCCCTTAGTTTATACACTTTCACCTCCCTCTTACTTGTTGCCACCTTCCTCTTTTCCCATCTACCTCTTACTCTAACTGTAGCTACAACTAAATAATGATCCGATATATCAGTTGCCCCTCTATAAACATGTACATCCTGGAGCCTACCCATCAACCTTTTATCCACCAATACATAATCTAATAAACTACTTTCATTACGTGCTACATCATACCTTGTATATTTATTTATCCTCTTTTTCATAAAATATGTATTACTTATTACCAAATTTCTTTCTACACATAGCTCAATTAAAGGCTCCCCATTTACATTTACCCCTGGCACCCCAAATTTACCTACTACTCCCTCCATAACATTTTTACCCACTTTAGCATTGAAATCCCCAACCACCATTACTCTCACACTTGATTCAAAACTCCCCACGCATTCACTCAACATTTCCCAAAATCTCTCTCTCTCCTCTACACTTCTCTCTTCTCCAGGTGCATACACGCTTATTATAACCCACTTTTCACATCCAATCTTTATTTTACTCCACATATATAAATATATATATATATATATATATATATATATATATATATATATATATATATATATATATATATATATATATATATATATATATATATAGTGGATAAAAAGGCTTCAAGGAAGAATATTTGGATTTCTTCCTGAAGCCGTTTGAATATTCCACTTCCCCTACCACCCCATCTTTTCGTATTTTTTTTTACCAATAGGAATATTTTATTACATAATATGGTGCAGAAGATTTAAGAGATACATTGTTGATATAAAGGTGGCATATACGGTACATGTTGTTACGTGTGTATCACCGATTATAAGGCGAAAATCTCATCCAGCTCCTCAGAGCTGGGGCGTGTGCCCAAAATACAGCAGGCATTACCCCTTTGAACAGCCGCACTGAGCCGCTGGAACAGAAAACTAGCTGCCCTGGGATCCCTAGTTACCCTGATGAGTCTTTTTCCCAGCTCCTTAAGTAGGTTGGTAGACAGGAACCACCCGGGGAGGTACTACCGTCCTGCCAAGTGAGTGTAAAACGAAAGCCTGTAATTGTTTTACATGATGGTAGGATTGCTGATGTCTTTTTATTGTCTCATACACATGCAAGATTTCAGGTGCATCTTGCTACTTGTACTTAGACTTAGGTCACACTACACATACATGTACAAGCATATATATACACCCCTCTGGGTTTTCTTCTATTTTTTCTAGGTCTTGTTCTTGTTTATTTCCTCTTACTTCCATGGGGAAGTGGAACAGAATTCTTCCTCCGTAAGCCATGCGTGTTGTAAGAGGCGACTAAAATGCCAGGAGCAAGGGGCTAGTAACCCCTTCTGTATAAATTACTAAATTTAAAAAGAGAAACTTTTGTTTTTCTTTTTGGGCCACCCTGCCTCAGTGAGATACGGCCGGTGCATTAAAAGAAAATATATATAATATATATATATATATATATATATATATATATATATATATAATATATATATATATATATATATATATATATATATATATATATATATATATATATATATATATATATTGCTCGCCACGGCATTATGCCAGGTGAGCGCCTTGTCATAATGCCGTGACAAAAATGAAAGGCCTACCATACAAGGGGGTCTTTTTTCGTCAGTGCATTCTGGTGGGTAGCAGCCATTAGCATGATGTCACAGTCTGTTGCCACACTTCACAGTGACTTCTCATTGCTCATGTGGCTGCTGTGGTGAGAGGAAGTTTTGCACTGTTGTCTCATCCACCCCATCTTTTGTCCGTTGTTCCCTTTGGTTTTGGGGCTATACATGTTTGATTATGGGTAAAAGGAAGTCTTTAACACCTGAAACTATAGCTCAAAATCATAGGGCTTCACAAAGCTGGGCACCAGATGAAAGAAATAGTGGAAAATGTTGGTGTGTGTGAGCATTCAGTGAGGAACTGGGTGCAGCATTTCAAGGCTGGTGGTGGTGTCGAGTTACCGTCTGCCAAACCTCGGCCTGGCACCTCGAGGAAGATATCTATTCATATCTTAACTGTGTTAAAGAAGCAGTTACTCTCTAACTGCAACAGGGGTCCAGTGCCAGTAAATGACAAAGGGAAGTAACCCCGGATAGGGACTTGATACCTAAAGTCCTTATGGAGGGGGATTCCCCTTCCAACCAATAACCTCTCCTCCTCCCTCTTCCCTCCTCGCATCTTCCATATGCCAACAAGAGTCTTCAATAAAGGTAAAAAGTGATGTTAAATGTTCATTTATACATTTCATTAGTCCTTTATGCAGTGGACCCCCGCCTTATGATATAATTTCATTCCAGAAGTATGTTCAGGTGCCGTTACCGAACGAATTTGTTCCCATAAGGAATATTGTGAATTTGATTAGTCAGTTTCAGACCCCCAAAAATACACGTACAAAAGCACTTACGTAAATACACTTACATAATTGGTCGCACTGGAAGCTGATCGTAAGGCGGGGGTCCACTGTATATTCTCTTTGTTTTCAGTATGTAAATCTACAGTTATTCTCTATAAAATGTATTTTTTTGTTAATAGTTTTGGGTGTCTGGAATGGATTAATTGGATTTACATTATTTCTTATGGGAAATATTGCTTCAGTTTTTGTCGAATTCGGTTTTTGTCAGACTTTCTTCAACGAATTAATGACAAAAACCGAAGTTCCATTGTATGTACTAGTATACACATATGCACCAGGTTTCACAGGGTATATGCAGCAAGAGGTGTATTTCCCTCAGTGAATTTATGCTGAGAGTTTACTTTAATTCCTATTTTAGGGATTAAAGTATTTTCTGGTAGTGAAGAGGTTACATGCAGCCTTAGTAACCCTAGTGTAGTTGATAGATTTTGAACTCCGTTAATCAACCAAGTTTCTTTAACCAAGTGTTTTTTCATTCGGCAGGTGGTGTACCACAGCATGAGAAGTCTCCGTCTAGATGGTGATTCTCAACCTGTGCTGGCGCAGCTGGAGTTGCAGCTGGCCCTGGTGGATGCTTTGAGGAGCAAGTTTCCCTGCAGCAACTATAGTAACTTGAATCACGCCCTCACACTTGGCCTCAAGGATGCTGCCACCCTCAAGGTCCAGCCTCTGCCACAGCATTGAAATACCTAGAGACAGCCCACTACAGGTCTCCAACATTCGCGTTTTCCACTTTTGCGGGCTTCGAACATTCGCGAATTCCCAGCCGCCCAATCATATTTAAAGTGTGTCATTACATATGTTAGGAATTGTACGTTAAAGTACCCCAGGAACACCTGCCAGGCTGAAGAGTGAGCTTGTAAAAAAAAAAGCTAAAGACTGAGTCTAAAAATTATTAAGATAATTAATATTATTAAAAATTACTAATACCTGCATAATTAAAAGAGAGAAACATTAATCTGCAAGGGTCATATATCACTCAGAAAATGGGAGGAAATCAGGTTGATGAAAAAACAGGAAAGAATTTCAGTTATTTGGATATAGAATAGCCCTTGTGGTTTAGCGCTTCTTTTTGATTATAATAATAATGGATATAGAATGTTTCAGCAGCATTATGGTAACCTCGTAGAATTTTAGACTTTGTAGATGACAGAAAATAAGAAAAGTACTGTATATTTAGACCTGAAGAAGACCTCCTTGAGAGGCTAAGATACAGTATACATTACTCATTATATTTTATCTTTTTTTTTTTTCTTGTCTCCTTATGAATTCCTTCATACCATGTGTGGCAGCGCTGTATAGCCCTTGTGGCTTAGCGCTTCTTTTTTATTATAATAATAATAATTCATACCATGTGTCCCTTCAACAGGAAGTTTCTTGATGAAGGGGAAGGGTTCTTAATCCATGGAACTGAATTTATCTTTCAGTTCCTTGAATCATACCCAGTTGCTATCCACCCCTAGATTATTATTATAATCAAAACTAAGCTCTGAATCACCGGGGTCATACAGCTCTTACTCCTAGAGCACTGTATGTTATACGTATTCACAAAATCACTTGTGTAGTATGTACTGTACTGTCTAAAGGTGCTATCACATTTATTCCTTCCATGATAATAACTTACATTTAAAGGGAGAGCAGCTTGAATTTCCTTGATCTAGGACCCCCTCACCAGCATTGATGCACCCACCTTGAAGGGTTAATGACTTAGTTATTACATTTAGGGTAAAGTGCTAAACTCATAGAGGGTCATACAGCACCAGGGAAATGGAAGGCAGTCAGATTGGATCCAAGGAAGCAGAGGCAGGTCCAGTTCCTTGCATCGAGCTCCTCACCAGCATCAAGGACCCTCATCGAGATGAGGTCCCAAAAACCATTTGTCTTCTTTCACTCCTAACATGCCCATGCATGCTTGCTGGAAGTCCAAGCCCCTCGCCCACAAAACCTCCTTTACCCCCTCCAACCATTTTGAGGACGAACTCTACCTCTCCAGATTTATACACCCTCCAAGTCATTTTGTTTTGTTCCATCCTCTCTAAATGACCAAGCCACCTCAATAAGTCCTCTTCAGTCCTCTGCTTTGTAACTCCATACCTCCTAATTTCCACATTACAAATTCTCTGCATAATATTTACACCACACATTGCCCTTAGACATGACATTTCCACTGCCTCCAGCCTCTTCCTTGCTGCAGCATTCACAACCCATGCTTCAAACCAATTTAAGAATGTTGGTACCACTATACTCATGTACATGTACATTCCTTTCTTTGCATCCATGGATAACATTTTTTGTCTCCACAGATACTGCAATGCACCACTCACCTTATCTTATTATATTCACAAAACATGTTAAGCTCATGTGCTGTCAAAAATAAAATCAGGTTTGATCAAAGTTTACACAGCAGAGGTGAGAGATTGTAGAAGGAACATCAGCAGACAGATAGATATTATTACATTCATGGGTGTAAATCTTAAACCCACAAGGATCATACAATGCCCAGGGATATACAAAGCAATCAGGTTTGATCCAAGGAAGAGATCAGATTCAATTCCTTAGATCAAGAGTCCCTCAATGGCATTAAGGAACTTCCCTTGGAGGAAACAAGAGAGGAAAGGAAGGATATGAAATGTCTCAGATGAAAATTACATTATTGTAGCAGCAACAGTTTAATTATGTAGTCCATAATTTTGAAAAGAAACATTACTTTGCTTCAGTAAATCCTGAACTATTTATTAAGTTATGAGTGACAGAAAACAGGAAAGTCAAAAAGTTAGCTTTGGTGAAGAAGTGGGTTACAGCATAGGAGAGGAGAAGCAAGGGAAAGCATAGTCACATTAAATCACATTCGAGAGATTAGAACAGCGCTGTATGACCCTTATGGGTTTAGTGCTTGGTTATGATTATATTAATAATAATCTACAGATTAGAGCATTTTGATAATATACTGGAAAGAACAGGCATCAATATAAGCAAAATTGGTAATTATTTTTTTTTTAATTTTTATTAACACATCGGCCATTTCCCACCAAGGTAAGGTGGCCCGAAAAAGAAAAACTTTCACCATCATTCACTCCATCACTGTCTTGCCAGAGGTGCACTTACACTGGTCATAAAACTGCAATATTAACACCCCTCCTTCAAAGTGCAGGCACTGTACTTCCCATCTCCAGGACTCAAGATCTGACTGCCTGTTTCCCATTAATCCCTTCATAAATATTACCCTGCTCACACTCCAACAGCACATCAAATCCTAAAAACTATTTGTCTCCATTCGCTCCTAACACACTCACGTATGCTTGCTGAAGTCCAAGCCCCTCACGCACAAAACCTCCTTTACCCCCTCCCTCCAACCTTCTTAGGCTGACCTCTACCCCACCATCCCTGCACTACAGATTTATACACTTGAAGTCATTCTATTTTGTTCCATTCTCTCTACATATCTGAACCACCTCAACAACCCCTCCTTAGCCCTCTGGATAATAGTTTTAGTATTCCTGCACCTCCTAATTTCCAAACTACGAATTCTCTGCATTATATTCGCACCACACATTGCCCTCAGACATGACATCTCCACTGCCTCCAACATTCTCCTTGTTGCAGCATTCACCACCCATATAAGAGCATTGGTATAATTATACTCTCATACATTTCTCTCCTTACTTTCATGGACAAAGTTCTTTCTCTCCAGACTCCTCAGTGCACCACCCACCTTTTCTCCCTCGTTCTATGATCCACCTCATCTTTCATAGACCCATCTGCTGACACATCCACTCCTATATATCTAAACACATTCACCTCCTCCTTACTCTCTCCCTACAATCTGATATCCTATCTTTCATTACCTAATTTTTTTATCCTTATCACTTTACTCTTTATTATATTCACTTTTAATTTTCTTCTTTTACATACCTTAAAACCTCTGCAACTTCTCTTCAGTATCTCCCAAGAGCACAGTGTCATCAGCAAATAGCAACTGTGACAACTCCCACTTTATATTAGATTCTTTATTTTTTAACCCCACACCTCTTGCCAACACCCCATCTATGAATATATTGAACAACCTTGTCTAAGGCCTACTTTTACTGGGAAATTATCTCCCTCTCTCCTCCATACTCTAACCTAAGCCTCACTATCCTAGTAAAAACTTTTCACTGCTTTCAATAATCTACCTCCTATTCCAAACATTTGCAACATTGCCACATTGCTCCTGTAGCCACCCTGTCATGTGCCTTTTCCAAATCCATAAATGCTACAAAAACCTCTTTAGCCTCATCTAAATACGGTTCACTTATGTTTCATTGTAAAATTGGTAATAAGCTTAATTATATTTATAAAGAAGCACTAAACCCACAGGGGGCATACAGTGCCTGGTAAATAGCATGTAATTAGGTTTGGTCTCAGAAAAGGAAGGATATTCTCCAGCTGTTGTTGCACTGAGATAATATCCTCCCTGACAGTTTATTGGTTTTTAATCACTCCTCCAAACTTACTCACATCATTCAGTTTAGAAAGAAGAAATTCCTAACGAAGCCATCAGAGTTTTGTAAACTGTTGAAAAGCCTGTATTAATGTCTGATCTGGAAATTTTAAGACATTTACCACAAGGCTCATTCACAATCACTGGTGCAGTCTAAACTCTTAACTGATGGAATGAAACAAAATAAAAGGTGATACAAGTAATGACAATTTAATATATAGATAGCATTTTACATTTTGATAGAAAAGCCAATTTTTTTATTAAAATTCATAGGGACAAATGTCAACAATCCTTTACTAATTTTCCTTTTCCCCTATCACATGAACTGTGCCAGCATTAGGCTGTTCAAAGATAATTAGAAATACTATATTACAGAATAAACTCAATACAGAGTCATCATTAGTTTGTTAACAATAATATAACAATGCAGTAGTATTGTACCTCTATATTATCAATGTCATAATAGTATTTTTTTCAATGCCTCTCACATTCTGATAAATGAAGTCAGTCTAAGTGGCTCTAAAATAACAAAAAATAAGATGCATGTATTTGTCAAACATAACTATAATGTGTGCCTCTCAAGTTGAGTGTTAAGCTTCTAGAAATGTACATGTGAAGAAACTGTGATGAGGCTTTCAGCAAGAAAATGTGCATGCAAAATTACAATTTAAATACATTACCTCCAACGAAATATTTTTTCACACACCAGCCGTCTCCCACCGAGGTAGGGTGAGGAGGAGAACAAACTTTCACCATCGCTCACCTCATCACCGTCTTGCCAGAGGGTGCATACATTACAGCTCAGATGCCCCTCCAAACTGCAACATCCCCACCCCTCTCAGAGTACAGTGCCAGAGAAATGTATATAAAATTATTGAAGTCATTCATCATCACTTTCATCCACATCATCATCACTCATTTCATTCCAAGCAGCAGCTTCATCACTGTCAATATCCTTAACACTACCTTCAGTATCATCCAAAGCCTTTCGTTGCTCACTAAGTTTTTTTAAGTAAGCTAACTCCTGTGCTTCTAAATCTTCATCATCAGAACTAGAGCATTCATATTCAGCTAGCTTCTTTCCCATTTTCTTCTTTACTGATTTCTTTGCCTTTGTAAATTCAATTTCTGTTGTCCCATCTTGGTCAAGATCCATCATGACCTCTTCCTCCTGTTGCTTGGCCTTTGCTGTTTTCTTTTTCTTTACCTTTTTTTTAATTTCTGTAGTATTACCACTAACAAGTTTCACTGTGCTTTCTTTCTCCTGCTTCTTACCTTTCTTTGACAGTTTCTTCTTCTTTTCTTTTGATGTGACTTTTGTATTTTCTGCTTGTACTGCACTAATGTCTTCAGATTCCACTATGCACTCTGATTCCTTCTGCTTCTTTCCCTCATTTTCCTTTTTGTCAGTTTTTTTTTCACAGTTTCTAGCAACATATTTCTTGAATTTTTTTGGTATCTGTAATAAGAAATAATTTACTTAATAAACCTTATGAAAAATATGACACTTTATTACCAAATCAAAGACCAATGAGCAACACATTGTTTTAACAATTATACACACACACATGCTGACTTAACTTCCAATACATTCACATTCTACACTATAAAATATTAATGTTGAAAAATAAATTATAGAATAAATATGAATCCTAAAAAGTAATGCGGTAAATCTTTCCTGAATTACAGAAGACGAACTGAAGTTTTCATATAAACTTCTCAAACATAGCCACAATTGCCATATTTCATAATACTGTACTGCGCACTTCTGGGAACTGCATCAACAATAAGGCTTAGCTTAGTTCCCTCATTCATATAGCATTCAACATAACTATCAACCATATAAAAATTATTAATGAAAATCCTATTCTATTTTGCTCAAGTTTACGTATGTAGAATCAATATACAGTGGACCCCCGCATAACGATCACCTCTGAATGCGACCAATTATGTAAGTGTATTTATGTAAGTGCGTTTGTACGTGTATGTTTGGGGGTCTGAAATGGACTAATCTACTTCACAATATTCCTTATGGGAACAAATTCGGTCAGTACTGGCACCTGAACATACTTCTGGAGAGAAAAAATATCGTTAACCGGGGATCCACTGTATGTTCATTTGAAAGATATTTTGGCTTCGTTTATTGAAGCTTTAAGGATGATTTTTTTTTTAAATGAGCTTCCATTCACACAAAACAAATTCACTACTCACAAACACTGAGACCCAACACAGTTCAAATTATATCTAATATGTGAAGCACTTCCTACTCGTACAGTATACAAATTTCAACAATTCCCATACAGTCCTGATGCCACTAACTATTAACTAACTGAAGCCCAACTCTACTGTATATTAGCTTCAAATTATTAGGTTTATATGAGCCAGCCTGATGATCACATTATTTACTCTTATAAATGCTTCATATTTTGAAAAATAAAAAAACTTATAGAAAAACTCTAAAAATACTAAGACTAATTCTTTCACAGACCGTACCTCATCTATTTCGTCTTCAGGAATTCTGTCAAGAACCTTCTTATGCATATTTACAACTGTAATACTGCTATCAGGATAAATAGTAACCACTCTGTTGTTAAGTACACCTGATATTGGCTTCTTCATATACAATGGCCTCTGAGGGATGACACCAATATCATTCAGAGAACCTGCCAAAAAAATAGTTTATGCATAAGTTTTTTTTTTTAACAACACACCATATCCCACCATAGCAGAGTGACCCAAAAAGAAAAACGATAGATTTTCTTTTTAGATTTAGTAACTTATACAGGAGATGGAGTTAAGAATAAATGTATAAAATTTAAATCCTTTTTAAATTTTCTGATTCAAGACCTGCATAACACACAAAGAGTACAACCTCAAAATAGCATTTAGTACAAAAAGAGTACAACCTCAAAATGGCATTTAGTCGCCTCTTACAAAACGCATGGCTCGTGGAGGAAGAATTCTTCTCCACTTCCCCATGGAGAAAATTGCATTTTTTTTTTTTCAACAAGTCGGCCGTCTCCCACCGAGGCAGGCTGACCCAAAAAGAAAGAAAATCCCCAAAAAGAAAATACTTTCATCATCATTCAACACTTTCACCTCACTCACACATAATCACTGTTTTTGCAGAGGTGCTCAGAGCACAACAGTTTAGAAGTATATATGTATAAAGATACACAACATATCCCTCCAAACTGCTAATATCTCGAAATCCCTCCTTTAGAGTGCAGGCATTGTACTTCCCATTTCCAGGACTCAAGTCCAGCTATATAAAAATAACCAGTTTCCCTGAATCCCTTCACTAAATATTACCCTGCTCACACTCCAACAGATCGTCAGGTCCCAAATACCATTCGTCTCCATTCACTCCCATCGAACACGCTCATGCACGCCTGCTGGAAGTCCAAGCCCCTCGCCCACAAAACCTCCCTTACCCTTTCCTTCCAATCTTTTCGAGGACGGCCTTCCTCCTACAGATTTAAATGCTCTCCATGTCATTCTACTTTGATTCATTCTCTCTAAATGACCAAACCACCTCAACAACCCCTCTTCAGCCCTCTACTAATACTTTTATTAAACTCCACACCTCCTAATTTCCACACTCTGAATTTTCTGCATAATATTTACACCACACATTGCCCTTAGACACCACTCACCTTTTTTCCCCTCATCAATTCTATGAGTAACCTCATCCTTCATAAATCCATCTGCCGACACGTCAACTCCCAAGTATCTGAAAACATTCACTTCTTCCATACTCCTCCTCCCCAATTTGATATCCAATTTTTCTTTATCTAAATCATTTGATACCCTCATCACCTTACTCTTTTCAATGTTCACTTTCAACTTTCTACCTTTACACACACTCCCAAACTCATCCACTAACCTTTGCAATTTTTCTTTAGAATCTTCCATAAGCACAGTATCATCAGCAAAAAGTAACTGTGTCAATTCTCATTTTGTATTTGATTCCCCATAATTTAATCCCACCCCTCTCCCGAACACCCTAGCATTTACTTCTTTTACAACCCCATCTATAAATATATTAAACAACCATGGTGACATTACACATCGCTGTCTAAGACCTACTTTTACTAGGAAGTATTCTCCCTCTCTTCTACACACCCTAACCTGAGCCTCACTATCCTCATAAAAACTCTTTACAGCATTTAGTAACTTACCACCTATTCCATATACTTGCAACATCTACCACATTGCTCCCCTATCCACTCTATCATATGCCTTTTCTAAATCCATAAATGCAATAAAAACTTCCCTACCTTTATCTATATACTGTTCACATATATGCTTCAATGTAAACACTTGATCTACACATCCCCTACCCACTCTGAAACCTTCCTGCTCATCCAAAATCCTACATTCTGTCTTGCCTCTAATTCTTTCAATTATAACCCTACCGAACACTTTTCCTGGTATACTCGGTAAACTTATTCCTCTATAATTTTTACAATCTCTTTTGTCCCCCTTCCCTTTATATAAAGGGACTATACATACTCTGCCAATCCCTAGGTACCTTCCCCTCCTTCATACATTTATTAAACAAAAGTACCAACCACTCCAACACTATATCCCCCCTGCTCTTAACATTTCTGTCATGATCCCATCAGTTCCAGCTGCTTTACCCACTTTCATTCTATGTAATGCCTCACGTACCTCCCCCACACTTACATTCTGCTCTTCTTCACTCCTAAAAGATGGTATACCTCCCTGGCCAGTGAATGAAATTACTGCCTCCCTTTCTTCCTCAACATTTAAAAGTTCCTCAAAATATTCTTGCCATCTACCTAATACCTCCCTCTCCCCATCTACTAACTCCCCTACTCTGTTTTTAACTGACAAATCCATACGTTCCCTAGGCTTTCTTAACTTGTTTAACTCACTCCAAAATTTTTTCTTATTTTCATTAAAATTTCTTGACAGTGCCTCTCCCACTCTATCATCTGCTCTCCTTTTGCACTCTCTCACCACTCTGTTCACCTTTCTTTTACTCTCCATATATTCTGCTCTTCTTATAACACTTCTGCAATTATCAGAATATAAAAATTACGTAAATAAAAAATGAGACAAAAAGGTATATCAGCAACATTTCTGAAAGGAGCAGGACTCCATGTTGCTGTCACACGAGCATCTACTGCCATCTTTGCCACCTTATATCTCAATAAGTACTGGCCCTAAATTTTTTTTTGGTCTTGTTACATGCAGAAAATTCCCCTCTTCATCTATTTTTTTTTTTTTTAAATATTCCGAGTGCTAGCAGTAAAATGTAGATCAACGGTTTGACAGTTAAAGGATTAATAAAGCTTAAAGTTGACTGGTATGAGATAACAAGAAATATGAGCACAAACCATTCAAGCTAAAAACAAAGGTTCAAGCTAAAAACAAAGGTAATACAAGCACGATAAAAGTAAATGTTAGACTGTTGATACTTGCAATAAATGTATCAAATATATACAACAGTTAAAAACAGATTGATACAAACATACCTATTTTAACATAGATAGGAACTGATAATGATAGTGCTAGTTTGAGATTAAGATTCATTATATTTTTCCATCCCCCTGGGATGGATCTAGCCAGTTTCTTAACGACCGCCAATATATTTTCTACAATCTCTTCATCCGTGTGGCTAAGACGACCAACCTGAAAAAACAAACATAAATTAAGTTAATAAATATATGTTAGGTTGACTCATTAAAACCTATCTAAATAAATAATACATGACAGGAGATGGATGATAAAACTTCAAGACATAACTTTAAAAGGACCAATTTCGATATGTCACAGTTTCCGTGTACTGTATCTACAATGATAACTCTTCTTCCTTCTTCACAACTTTCCCAGTACGTATAGGTAATCTAATCCCCAGTATTTTCCCAACTAATGTATACATTTTCTGTCTATGTCTGATGCCTTGTTTGCAAAGAACTTTCCTTCCAAAAGTACACTTAAAAAATTAATATCATCAAATAATCTTATCTGAATACAACTGTTAGGTATTCTGTCATCAAGGAACTTATACCATGTTTAATTCTCCACTTATCATATTCCTGGTTGTATATTTACCATACAGGCTAATCATTTACCATGCAGGCCAATCATTTACTATTCCTTCCATACTACTGCCATGATTCTCTTGAACACTATTACTCTACACCTCACACTGTTAGCTGTCAAGGCTATCCCAGAACTTTCTTCTTTCTTCTTTCAACACAGCGGCCGTATCCCACCAAGGCAGGGTGGCCCAAAAGGAAAAACAAAGTTTCTCTTTTTACATTTAGTAATATATACAGGAGAAGGGGTTACTAGCCCCTTACTCCCGGCATTTTAGTCGCCTCTTACAACACGCATGGCTTACGGAGGAAGAATTCTGTTCCACTTCCACATGGAGATAAGAGGAAATACACAAGAACAAAAACTAGAAAGAAAATAGCAGAAAACCCAGAGGGGTGTGTATATCTATATGCTTGTACACATATGTGTATGTGACCTAAGTGTAGGTAGAAGTAGCAAGATGTACCTGTAATCTTGCATATTTGAGACAGACAGAAGACACCAGCAATCCTACCATCATGCAAAACAATTACAGGTTTTCGTTTCACACTCACTTGGCAGGACGGTAGTACCTCCCTGGGTGGTTGCTGTCTACCAACCTACTACCTAGAGAACTTTCTATATACTGTGTATATTTTTCTTCCAGAGAGAGATGTTTTATTTATATCTGCCTATTCCTATTATTATTCTTATTCTCATTCTCTAGCTACAAGACACCACTGGCCACACTGCACTTTGTATTAGAAAAACATGTTCTTCTAAAGGAATTAAAAAAAAAATGGTTTTTAATTTTTAAAGTTCAGTACTTGTATAATGTGTACGTGTATTTGTATGGTATAGTATACAGTGGACCCCCGCATACCTTTGGCATCACATAACGTTTAATCCGCATACCGATACATTTTATCGCTAAAATTTTGCCTCGCATACCGCTTAAAAACCCGCTCACCGCTGTTCGTCCGAGACGCGTCCAATGTGCGCCTTAGCCAGCCTCACATGTTCCGCCGGTGGCATTGTTTACCAGCCAGCCTCCGCGGTAGCATCCAAGCATACAATCGTAACATTTCGTATTATTACAGTGTTTTTGGTGATTTTATCTGGAAAATAAGTGACCATGGGCCCCAAGAAAGCTTCTAGTGCCAACCCTACAGCAATAAGGGTGAGAATTACTATAGAGATGAAGAAAAAGATCACTGATAAGTATGAAAGTGGAGTGCGTGTCTCCGAGCTGGCCAGGTTGTATAATGAACCCCAATCAACCATCGCTACTATTGGTGGTACAGCTGCTGCTGCTGCTGTAGCATCGTCTGCTGCTGCTGCTGTAGCATCGTCTGCTGCTGCTGTAGCATCGTCTGCTGCTGCTGTAGCATCGTCTGCTGCTGCTGTAGCACTGTCAGCTGCTGCTGCTGCTGTAGCATCGTCTGCTGCTGCTGTAGCACTGTTGTTGGTGTGGCTTATTGAGAATATACCAAGAAACAATTAACCCCAGAGGATTTTCCACCCAGGATAACCCAAAAAAGTCAGTGTCATCGAAGACTGTCTAACTTATTTCCATTGAGGTCCTTAATCTTGTCTCCCAGGATGCAACCCACACCAGTCGACTAACACCCAGGTGAACAGGGAAAAATGCCTGGAACTAGTGCTCATATTGGTGAATTTAAAGCCAGCAAAGGTTGGTTTGAGAGATTTAAGAATCGTAGTGACATACACAGTGTGATAAGGCCTGTTCTGGAAGAAAATGCCAAACAGGACCTACAGTACTCAGGAGGAAAAGGCACTCCCAGGACACAGTGTCTCATCAGTCATTGCTGCATCTTCAATAAAGGTAACTGTCATTTATTCTTCATTTAGTAGGCTAGTACATGCACAATATATACTGTGCATGTACTACTCTACTATTGTGCATGTATCCTTCTCTTTGTGTGTAGGAAAATGTATATTTCATGTGGTAAAAATTTTTTTTTCATACTTTTGGGTGTCTTGCACGGATTAATTTGATTTCCATTATTTCTTATGGGGAAAATTCATTCACATACCGATTATTTCGCATACCAATGAGCCCTCTTGCACGGATTAAAATCGGAATGCGGGGGTCCACTGTATTTAGACCTAGGTAGTAGGTTGGTAGACAGCAACCACCCAGGGAGGTACTACTGTCCTGCCAAGTGAGTGTAAAATAAAAGCCTGTAATTGTTTTACATGATGGTAGAATTGCTGGTGTCTTTTTTCTGTCTCATAAACATGCAAGATTTTAGGCATGTCTTGTTACTTCTACTTACACTTAGGTCACACTACACATGCATATATTTTTTTTTTTTCAACAAGTCGGCCGTCTCCCACCGAGGCAGGGTGACCCAAAAAAGAAAGAAAATCCCCAAAAAGAAAATGCTTTCATCATCACTCAACACTTTCACCACACTCACACATTATCACTGTTTTTGCAGAGGTACTCAGAATACAACAGTTTAGAAGCATATATGTATAAAGATACACAACATATCCCTCCAAACTGCCAATATCCCAAACCCCTCCTTTGAAGTGCAGGCATTGTACTTCCCATTTCCAGGACTCAAGTCCGACTATATGAAAATAACCGGTTTCCCTGAATCCCTTCACTAAATATTACCCTGCTCACACTCCAACAGATCGTCAGGTCCCAAGTAACATTCGTCTTCATTCACTCCTATCTAACACACTCATGCACGCTTGCTGGAAGTCCAAGCCCTTCGCCCACAAAACCTCCTTTACCCCCTCTCTCCAACCCTTTCGAGTATGACCCCTAGCTCGCCTTCCTTCCCCTATAGATTTATATGCTTTCCATGTCATTCTACTTTGATCCATTCTCTCTAAATGACCAAACCACCTCAACAACCCCTCTTCTTCCCTCTGACTAATACTTTTATTAACTCCACACCTTTTCCTAATTTACACACTCCGAATTTTCTGCATAATATTTACACCACACATTGCCCTTAGACAGGACATCTCTACTGCCTCCAACCATCTCCTCGCTGCTGCATTTACCACCCAAGCTTCACATCCATATAAGAGTGTTGGTACTACTATACTTTCATACATTCCCTTCTTTGCCTCAATAGATAACGTTTTTTGACTCCACATATACCTCAACGCACCACTCACCTTTTTTCCCTCATCAATTCTATGATTAACCTCATCCTTCATAAATCCATCCGCCGACACGTCAACTCCCAAGTATCTGAAAACATTCACTTCTTCCATACTCCTCCTCCCCAATTTGATATCCAATTTTTCTTTATCTAAATCATTTGATACCCTCATCACCTTACTCTTTTCTATGTTCACTTTCAATTTTCTACCTTTACACACATTCCCAAACTCATCCACTAACCTGTGCTCCCATAAGCACAGTATCATCAGCAAAAAGTAACTGTGTCAATTCCCATTTTGAATTTGATTCCCCATAATTTAATCCCACCCCTCTCCCGAACACCCTAGCATTTACTTCTTTTACAACCCCATCTATAAATATATTAAAAAACCATGGTGACATTACACATCCCTGTCTAAGACCTACTTTTACTGGGAAGTAGTCTCCCTCTCTTCTATACACCCTAACCTGAGCCTCACTATCCTCATACAAACTCTTTACTGCATTTAGTAACTTACCACCTATTCCATATACTTGCAACATCTGCCACATTCCTCCTCTATCCACTCTATCATATGCCTTTTCTAAATCTATAAATGCAATAAAAACTTCCCTACCTTTATCTAAATACTGTTCACAAATATGCTTCAATGTAAACACTTGATCTACACATCCCCTACCCACTCTGAAACCTCCTTGCTCATCCGCAATCCTACATTCTGTCTTACCTCTAATTCTTTCAATTATAACCCTACCGTACACTTTTCCTGGTATACTCAGTAAACTTATTCCTCTATAATTTTTACAATCTCTTTTGTCCCCTTTCCCCTTCCTTTACATAAAGGGACTATACATCTCTCTGCCAATCCCTAGTACCTTCCCCTCTTTCATACATTTATTAAACAAAAGTACCAACCACTCCAACACTATATCCCCCCCTGCCTTTAACATTTCTGTCATGATCCCATCAGTTCCAGCTGCTTTACCCTCTTTCATTCTACATAATGCCTCACGTACCTCCCCAACACTTACATTCTGCTCTTCTTCACTCCTAAAAGATGGTATACCTCCCTGGACAGTGCATGAAATTACCGCCTCTCTTTCTTCCTTAACATTTAAAAGTTCCTCAAAATATTCTCGCCATCTACCTAATACCTCCATCTCCCCATCTACTAACTCCCTTATTCTGTTTTTAACTGACAAATCCATACTTTCCCTAGGCTTTCCTAACTTCTTTAACTCACTCCAAAATTTTTTCTTATTTTCATTAAAATTTCTTGACAGTGCCTCTCCCACTCTATCATCTGCTCTCCTTTTGCACTCTCTCACCACTCTCTTCACCTTTCTTTTACTCTCCATATAACTCTGCTCTTCTTATAAACACTTCTGCTTTGTAAAAACCTCTCATAAGCTAACTTTTTCTCTTTTATCACACCCTTTACTTCATCATTCCACCAATCACTCCTCTTTCCTC